ACTTTTTTTGGTTTTCAAGCATTTCCAAATATAATGAGAGGAACCCTTTGGCAGTTCTGAAAAATGCAAGTAGCAGACTCCCAAAATTGCATATACTGGTTTGTTTATGCTTTGTTCCTTTCATGTGCTGAGCTTTCATGAGCTCCATAAACATAAAATTACAGAACAGTGCTACAAATTCAGAATTATTTCCACATTCACTGTGCAAATGACTTGTTAACAAATGTTAAATTTGGAATTCTGTTTTTCTCACTTTTTAAAAAACTATTTAGATGTAACTCATAATTTTGAGATGTCTTTATTGCTCTTTGCTAAATGCTAATAAGCATTTCTGTCTCTCCCTTTAGAAATGCATGCACTCATTTGTTTATTTGAAATTCTAATCATAGATATGCCAGAAACATTAAGAAACATAATATTTCCTGTAGAAAGTTTATCTACAGTTGCTTGTTAGATCACGTTTAATGTATAATGCTGATAAATTTTATTTAGTTGTACGTTCTGAATCGTGTGTGTTCTGAATATATTGCTTTTAGTCTAACAGTAACTGAAAACTATGGATGTATGTTTCACTGTTATGCAGAAATAAAGTACATATTCTGTGAAGGGACACCAAGGTGTTCTGAAAGCAGCAAATACAGCCAAGTGAATGGAGTGCAAGAATGTGAATCATATAACTAGGTCTTCATGATATGTTAAACTTAGTTGTAGCGTGTAACAATCTGAATGTCTGGCCATTTTAAAAGCTGTGATCTTGTTGGTTTTATGTGTCCAAGCAGCGTTTCCAGGCTGTAAGTCTCACAGATTCAGTGTTTTGTTTACTCATTGTTGCTGCTGTTTTCTCTAAAGTCAGTGCCTACAACACTCTCAGTGAGACAAACAGATGCCAAATCATGGATTACGCATGAAGGAAAAATCGTGGTTTGCATGGCATTATGACATCCTGTTCGCACTGTGCTGAGAAGTAAGCTGGCTGTTGCCACATCAGTGAGTTTTGATGGCAGTCCTACTTATTTTGTATGGTTTCTGTAATGATCTGTTATGATATTGGATGACCTTCTGATAGCTTTACCTTCTAGAAATAAGGCATTTCCCATTTCCAGTTTCCCATTTAAAACTGAAACAAAGTCCTTGTGGGTGCAGGGAATGTGATGTTGATACACTTCAGAAGCCTCAAATTGAAAAATATCCATACTTTTCTCTGCTGCAGTATCTACTGAGCCTTTAAATATCTTTTCCCTCTCCACCCTTAAAAATAGTAGGCCCTGCTCCAGGAGTTTAGAACAGCTAAAATGGAAAGTATTGGAAAAGATGTTTTAGGTGCTTATGCAATCTCTGAATTTCTATTTCCACTTTAAGTTCTCCCTTTTTTTTCCCCTCAATTCTTCCACCTAGTTTCTTTTCTCAAATTAAGTTCTATACTTTTTTTTTTTTTTTTAATTTCAATGTGAGTTTGTTTCTCAGTCACTCTGGTTGTGTTCTCAGTCCTGAAACTGCAGGCCGACAGCATGCCTCTTCTGGACATCCAGCCTGCCCTTGCTCTCAAAGCCATTAACTCTGATAGACTGGCTCGTGCATAGTTAAGATGTTTTGTCCTTGATGTTCTTAGCCTAAATTCTTTTGCCAAAGAACACTTACTTGTTTTCTCATTAAGTAGTATACGATAAATAATAATAAATAATACATCTTTTCATCATTGAGAAAGGAAAAGTATCTTCATTTTTGATAACCAGTGTATAAACGTGTAATACTTATCTGATTACTTGAATTTCTCCTTGTTTTCATTTTAATTTGCAGTAAAGTATGTGGGCAGTCAAAAGTGAAAGTGGAGGAATGTGGTGAAAATATGTGGGAGAGAAATAATAATATGTAAAGACATAAAGTGATGAGGGAAATGGTGGATTCTGTTGATGTTTTTCTTGGCTTTGCAAAATTATCTTTTGGTTGGAGATCGTGATTACAGTTCGTATCAGGGAAGCTCTGAAAAGATCAGATCCTCTTATATTAGGAGAACTGATGGCTTGCTGGTGTGAATCTGCCTCCAGGGCAGGGATAGATGGGCACAGAGAATCAATATGTTTGTAGGGAGGGCACGGTTTGTTTAGCAGTGTAACATCTTTTTTCGTGGCCCCTGGGCACTAGAAGGAACAGAGTTGTGTGTAAGTTCAGAAGCCCAGGCAGAACAAAATGGAAATGGAAGCATCCTCGTGTTTCTGTTGCTCTGAGTCATTTGCAGTAGGATTCACAGAGCATATACGAAGGGCTTTCATACATGTTTATTATTGGTTTTATTAACTATAGACATTTTTTTCCATGTCCTTGTTTTCCAGCCTGCACCTGTTTTTTGTTTTCTAAACATAACTCTAAGCTTAAATAAGTGTCGATGAAAGCTTACAGAGCTAAACAGTGGTTATTGTTGCAGTGGCAAGGTAGCTTAAATATGTCCAAACTACTGATAAGAAAACATAGAAAGAAGCTAAAGGACTACAGTAATGAGAGCCGTAGCTTTATTTCCATGCTAGTTCTGGAGAAGTACCTCCCTTCCAATAAATGCTTCTCACATAATGTAAGTGTCAATGTTATCAAAGGTTCTGGCACTATATAGTCTCTTCCAGTGTTTTATTTTCTGTAGCAAGTATCATGTTAGAACTGAAAATAATTTACAGTCCTTTAATCTTTTGAAGAACTTGGCCCTAAAACATTTACCACTTCATGTCTTCCAAAGGCTGTGCCTTGACACAAATACCATGCAGCAACATGTCACCACTCTCAAAAGGTTAATTGATATTTCAGAACGTTGAATGTCTGTGTAAACATGACCACAGCCAAATACATGTTCTGTTTTTCTTTCAAGAACATAAATAGGCAGACTATTTTGAAGCCTTAGGCAGCATGCTATCCATTAATCAAAAGTCATTCTCATACAACTATATTTAGAACAGAAAAGACACATGGAACACACACAAAAAGTAATTTTAAGGTAAAGCAATAATGAAAAAAGAGCTATTGCTGCTATACAGCTATGAACTCCTACCACAATGCTGCCACATATCTTGTGTTTCTTCTGAGCCTTCTACAATATTCCTTGATAGATGTGTATTAAAAGTGAAATAGAAGACATAAATCTGAATTTCCTTACTACTGATGGTATGTTTTTCATGCTACATACAGTACACTGTTTAACAGCTTTAAAAAAGTCCTAAAAATCAGTCTTCCTCAGATATTGTCCTTGTCTCTAGTGGCAATGTTTTATAATCCTGGATAAGCTGCTTGCCTCTCTAAGCCTTGGTTTCTGTATTACTATAATAAAGTGTTTAAGTAGTGATAGAAAGTCCTTTCTAAATAGCGGAGTGCTAGGCTTGAGCTTCAGTGATGAGCTATCACATTCCAGAGCTCGCTCACTCTCTCCGTGTTTGGCCATAGTGGTTTGATAGATGCAGGTGGTTTTATCAAAATAGCTAGTATTTTTTTCTGTTGCCTGGTTTGGACTGCTCCCATAGTTCATTTGTGTCCTTCTCTGTTAACCGTTATCAATATTGATAGGGTTCCTGAACTGAATTTTTCCTTCCACTTGATACTAAAACTTACAGTAAGGCAAGGTGCTGAGGTCTTGTTGTTCCTGAGAGGACCAGAGGTTATTTCTTCATTTACTTCATTGAAGTTTGCGGTGAGAAAAAGGTTTTCCATCTGTGCCGTTAGCATAATTTCTTGGTATATTTAGGAAAATTACAGATACTGGCTAGCTCAGGGTCCTTGTGTATTTGTCAGTGCTTTTAATGACTGACATAAGCACTTCCTCAGATATAACCGTGCTTTTGGATTGATGTACTTTTGAGTGGGATGAGTGCCTTAGTATTTCGATCAACCAATAGAAGTTCAGAAGCAATCAAAACAGAAAATTGGGTTAGAAAACTAATCTGTTTTTAGGATTTATAAAGTTTATCTTTTAAAGCATCATTAATTAGTTCATAAGCTTTGGGTATAGTTACTAAAGCTCCACCTACCACAAAATGACCTAGACCAGATTTACAGTGTTTTAACTATGCCTGTATGTGTTATAAGCATAGTTTTCCTTGATTAAATTATTATTATTAATTTTTAACCACAGAATGAAGGCTGAATAGGCAATGCACAATATAAATGGTACAGTTACAGTAAGTTTAGGATGTTCTGTCTTCGGGCCGTTCCCATGAAAGATGCTCCCACCATACACTCCCTGTCCTGTCTGTCACCTAAGGATTGCTGTCACTGCAGGAGAACAGGACATGCATTGGCTTCTCTGTTGTGTTCCCACCACAGTGCCTCTGGGGTGGCTTTATGCTGTTGACTTTAGCTGAAGTGTTGGACTGGAAAGAGATTAACTGAGACATGGCAAGCTTACATTTTTACTCAGTGAGCCACAATATTTACTAGCAGAGTGGGGAGAGTAGACTGAAAAACGCTTGTATGGAGATTAACTTGCCAGATGGTGAGATTATATATTTCTACTTATCTTTATTCAAGAAGGCTAGGTAGGTTATTTCTTGAAAGGCTTGTAATTCTGTTCTTACGTGCTTTGTTTTTCTGTAAGTTATAACTTGATAGTGTTTGGATTACACTAGAAATCACAATTTTTAGGTGGATTAACATTTACTGGTTATTTTATTTATTTCCTAAAATAAATAAAATAAAAATAGAATCCTGTACTTTAATCAACTTTTGCAAGAAGGGGGAATCCAACCTAGTTTGGATATTTAATTTTCTCTTACAGATTAGTTTCAAGTATAAGTTACTTTTATTTTTGATGGTCACAGGCAGTTTAAACTGATGGATTTGCTTCTAACTCTTGCAAAATTTATCTTGGAGTCCAGGAGAATTTGCAGGATATGCATTGTATAAGAATGGTTAACACTTGTGGAGCATGGCATTGTGTTTGCTGACAGGCCATTCATAGATACTGAAAGTTGACCTCCCCAGCATATCTACACCATCTGATTGTAATCTAAATTTGTATTTTATAGCTTGAAACAATTGGATGGCAGCTTAATCTTCAAATGGCTGAATCCATGCAAGCAAAGCTGAAATCTCCTCGAGCTGTGCTAGAGCTGGGTGTTAGCAATGAAGATTCAAAGGTAAGAAAATGTGCTTGGCAGAGTTGGAATAAATTGTGATAATGGCCTTATATTTGAAGATTTGATGCATCAGTTGGAACTCTTGATTATCATTAGTCTCTCACCAGTGTTTTTCATATTTATATTTTGTAAATCTACATTATTAAATGACTAATCAATTGGAATTGTGAAGTACTGATGTAATGGTATATACTTTAAGTAGACTGTGGAGCTGACAGCTGTGTTAATCAACTCCGGGCTATGATGTAATGGAGAAATACCAGGAAATATGGCTATTTGGGGTCTATAAAATGTCTTTATATATATATTTTATTTTTAGCATATAACTTGTGATTGGTACTTAGACTTATAATGCCAAGTTCCTTTCTGCCTTCTATCACATTTGTAGTTATATAAGGTATTACTCGTCACTTGCAGCGTTTCTGTGCTAATGATGCATCTGTATGAATACAGCATGCAAGGACACAGAAAGCCAATATTTGGAGATTTTAAGGTAAAGCTTTAAATTCAAGGTTTTTATTGACTGATGGTGCTTCTGTGCCAAAACATACAAATAAAGGTCATTTTGATTCATAAAGCTGTGTCTTAGGTTAGTTAGCATGTTTTAAGCTAAGCACATAAATGTTTGTTCACCTTATCTTGCTAATATAAATTGGAGTCTTTGCTGCTGTTATATCTGTCAGACAATGAAGGAGTTAATATAAGGTTTGAGGGGAAAAATCAGAACTCAGTTCTGCTTTTGTGTTGCATTTCATTTGCATCTTACTAATACAAGTTGATGTTCTAATATGTGGTAGAATAAAAGAATACATGGCTTATGTTTGTGCTCCTCATGAACACCTGCAGTAGCTATATTTTTTAAGCAGTTCACTGCAATCCATCTTATTGAAAGGTAAATATAGAAACCAGATAATATTTTATGCTAAACTGCATTGAGCAGCACTGCATACAGATTCAAATCATTGACAAAATAATTATAAGAAAACATGAGAAAAACAGGATGTTTTCACATGACAGAGAAAGTTTGCCTATTTTCTTTGCAAACAGAATTCAGGAAATATTTTTTTGATTGTTTCCTCTTGATTTTTGTGGATACAGTTGAATATCCGTATAAGAATTAATTTGCAATAGTTACAAGCCTAGAAACAAGAAAAACATACTGATGTGCTCACATTTCAGACACTAAAATTTAAAAATTCAGGTTCGTCTCAATATTATTAGTAGTATTATTAATATAATTTTTAACTGAATGATTGTTCTTACATCTTAGTAAAGAATTGGTTTGAGATTGGATAATACTTCCCTGTAAACTGACCAAAAAGATCAAAGATAATTAGTTTTTGTGCAATATTTTGCATCATCATGATGTTTTTGTAGAGTAAGTATTAAATACCTGTAAAACCTAAATACAAGTTGGTACTTCTCTTTTCTTTTCTCCCCAGACTTATGTATGTGGCTTTTGCACAGAAATCTGGCATGAGTTTAGTGCATGTGTTTGCAGTGATTGTTTTCATTTGTCACTAAACCTTTTTTATTTTTATTTTATTTTGTCTGTCTTTTTTTCTTTTTTCTTTTTTCCAAAATAACTTGTGGAGGGAACTACTGACTTTTTTTCGAGAAAGACAAACAGCAAAACGCTGTTATAGGAGAGCTTTTGTGGTTTGCTCACTAGGGGACAGTAGTGCTCTTCGTCACACATCGCTCTCTCTGCTCTTTTGAGGTAATATTCAGAATCAATTCTGAAGTCAGTAGTTGTGGGAAGCGTTAAGTGTTTACATTTCTAATCAGTATGTAACAATAGAGGTTTGTCTTGTCCATCTACATAACTAGAGCCTATTATTAAAAAATGTACTGAGCAAGGTAAATGAAATTTGCCATTATTTCCACTTACACTAACCGAAAGTAATTTGTACTAATACATTAATGTTTACTACAAGTCACTACAATTAAGGACCAATTTAATCATTTTTTTTCTCAGAAGCTGACATTTAAAATTACTACTTAAATTACTTGTCTAGCAGAAGTAGTCAGAAAAACATGGATATATGAAAGATACTTCTGCTTCATGAACTAGAATGAGTTAGAGGATCCACTATTTGAGATATATACATAGAATATTTTGTCAGCTTCATGTGAAATGCAGAGTAGTGTAGGTATTATACCTTCAAAATTCAAAAGCTAGGTGCTCTGTATTTTTTTGTCAGGTGATTTAAGCTATTAGTTAAGTTTGCATTGCCTGGGAAATATTCTGCTTGTGATTAGTAGTGATTACGATCAGATCACATGATTTTTTGGTGAGTACTTCTTGTTTGTTAAATTTTGTTGTTTGTTTATAATCCAGATTTTAAATTAGGTTTGTTGTGGATCTAACAGATGTTTTACATATGTTGTGTAAAGCTTTTCTGTGAGGTGGTTAACCGCTGTCATGAGTTACCCAGAGAGGCTGCAGGGCTGCCAGTATTGGAGATGTGTAGGAGTCAAGTGGAGAGTGCTTTGAGGGATCTGACCTAAGTGTGGAGCTAGCCCTGCTGCAGAACAGGGTTTGGGCCAGGTGGTCTGCCAAATGCTGCTTCCCAGATCAAGTTCTGTGGTTCTAAGCCGCTTTGCAATTTGGTGGCTGATGGGGTTTTGTATAAGGATGGGGAAAAAAAAAAAGTTTCAATTAAAAATCCAATTAACAACTCTTATTACAATGATTCAGAATTTAAAATGTTTAATTGCATTTCTCAATCTGAGGGAAATGAAATTTCTGTGAAGTAGACACACTAAACAAGCTAATATGATAAGAAACATCTTTTTGAACTGCAAGCTCCTTTTGCTTCCATTCTGACAGTTAAGGAAACATTTAGAAATAACCATTTACAAACCGATATGTGTTGAGGTCAGCTGTGTGTGGATACTGTCTTTAACAGTATAATTTGTTTTTAAGTTTGTTGTGTTGATGAGTTGCAACAACAGTTTGGGGGCTTTTTACAAACCTAGTAGTGTTATTTTTTGGCTATAGCTAGCCAGTAGAGGGAGTACAAATTAATAATCCTGATAATGTGTGCCAATTATAATGCTGATTTGCAAACAAAGACTGATCCTATAATGTAAGTGCTGCGTATATTTAATATCTCTGTTTCCTCCAGTAGTTTATTTAATAATTATCCATATAGGCATACACTCGCACGTTCTTTCCCACTGTTAATAACAGTAGTTCCTTAGGCTATTTTGAAAAGAGCTTTCTAAACAACTGGGATAATTCTCCATAACCACAGGAGCCATACACAAAAAATCTTTTGTAGTGGAGGTTGTTGAAAAGGTCTGTGGGCTTCAGAAATGTCACATCATCTGTGCTGAATATCTCACCAGAGGAATGTGAGAAGTAAGACTGTGTTCTTAGAATTTCTGCTGTGCTTCTTTGCTAGCAAGATTCAGTAAGACACTTTAACAAAGAAGATATTTAGTATTGTGTATTTTTTGTACATAATCTACAGTCAGCATTTATGCTTGAAAATCATCAGGATAAATTAACTATTATTGCCCAGAATTCTCTCAATAGTTATGCAATATTTTTGTAAAGTCATTCTACAGATTTCATTAAGTTCTCTAATTCAATTTTTTTTTTCCTCTGGAAGGTTTTTTTTTTTTCTTTCTCCATTATTTCACATACAATTTTCTTTTTAAACTGCTAAAGACTTCTTGAGGGAGTGATTTTTTTTTTTTAAGTGAGTATGGAATAAGTGAGTGAGTAAGGAATCCTATGTATAGGATTCCTACTTAAAGTTCATTAGTCTGATTATTTTGTTTCTTCTTTATACTTGTATTTGAAGAATTTTGTTGTAGGGTTTTGCCTGTCAATGTAATACAAAGACATTCTTGAAAGTCATAAAAGTGCTGGTTTATTTAACCTACTGATGTAATACTTTTAAAAGGAGGTAGATGGTATTAAACTGTTACTGTTATAATATAATTTTATTTAATTATAATTAATTTCCCTTGAATCTCTAGCTGCTTTAAGAGGAGAAAATAACAGTGGAAATATTTTAAATTATTTCTTCTGCAGCCATTTGTTTACAGTCAAAATAGAGCATGCATTTGAAACTGAGATCATAATACATATTCATCATACTACAGAGGATACAGAAGTCTGGAAATGTAAAATTTTTATTTTCTTTTCTTGTTAAAATAACAGGCCCCAATTTATTATTTTTTCCACTCCTAGTTTTAACAGACTTTGTACACATTCAAGGTTGTGAATGAATCTCAGTCTTAGATGGCTTTAAACCCTGTTTACTTCAGAAAGTGTGCCACTCAGCTTTCTAAGTTTGTTGTTGTGAATGTTTTCCCCATTTCTAACAGCAAAGCAGAGTAGATGGAAAACAAAGGTTTCCTTCTAGTTGAGCTAGATAAATCAATCATTTCAGGATGTCGATTCTGTGGAGCCTGTACAGCATGCAGGCAGGACCTGCACTCCATATTATCTAAGGATGTCTAAGAAAGTATGGTGGTGCTTCCAGTTCCCCCTCAGTTTAGCCCTTTTTTCATTCTGAAATGGAGTCATGTTTGCAGAGTGGTGTAACAGTGGGTTTTGGCGGATGCTCTTGGTATGTTTCTGCTCAGAGGAAGGATGTGGCAGCATTGAGCATGTACACGTTGATATAACCCCTTCATTTGCCTTCTCAATCCTCTGCTTTTGGGGTCATGCATTTAGCTGACTTTATTTATTTGTTTTCAAAACAGAGGAGTAGTTTTTGTCTGTAGTGTCTGGAAAAAAGAGGGCGATTAAAAGACTCAATGTTGGTGGAATAGTGATGAGATGCAAACACTAGATAATTATAAATTGTTTCTCATGTTCTTTGGCTACCTCTCAGCCATTTTCTTCTCTGATGGGGACATCACCCTTTTCTTCCTCAGAAAACAGAGAAGCTTACATGTGCATGCCTGAATTGAGTTGTGTGTTCACATCAAGTAGGTTTGTAAGTCTCTAGCTATTGCCAGAAAGGAAAGCAGGACAG